CGCCAAATTGTTGAGTAATCGTGGGTGTTCGTTCTTCCGGTTTAAAGGTGTTTTGTTGACCTCGAAAAAGCCTCTGACCGGACCCCGCTCAACAAATTATGGGTGTGCTTGCTAACGGTGGGATCGATTGTAAATTGCTACGGACCATCCAATGATTATTTGCTGATTGCAGGCGCTGCGTCAGTGTAAATAGCGTTGGCAGTGGTCTCCGCCAATGCTGCGTTTTGTCCCCTTTCCTGTTTGTGTTGTACATGGATAGAATAGTTAGGTGCAGTCAGGGCGATGAATTCAACGTAGGAGATGTCTAGACGAGAAGGTTGCTGTTTGCAGACGACCTTGCTTTGCTAGCATCTTCAAGCCTTTCCTCCATCGCTCTCTGGATACGTTGTTACCATATGCAACGTGGCTGGCTTGCATGTGAACGTCTCTAAAACGAAAGGCCGAATGCTTTCTCACTCTCCTATCCACTGCTCTCTTCAGGTAAAAGGCAGTGGAGAAAATGAAGAAGTTCAAGTACCTCGGGATCGTGTTTACTGGCGATTGAAAATTTGAGGACGAGATCGACCGGCGAATTGAAATATCCACTTGCGTTCTGCGTGAATTACTCTAACCGTTGTGACTATAGGAGAGCTGAGTCTGAACACTGAGCTCTCGGTGTCAAGTCGATCTTCATCTCCTTGCTTACTTACGGTGATGAGTCGTGTACCATGGCTGCAAACCTTCGTTCCGGAGTACAAGCGGCTGAAATATGCTTTCTGATACGAACTGTTGGGATCAGCCCTTTTGACATTGTCTGGCGTTCAAACATTCGAGGGTGCCAGACTGAGAAGTCATAGCTACGAAGGTTTGTGCACGTCTTGGGAATCCTTCCAGAAAGTAGGGCCAAACAGCTATGCTCTCTCAATCAACCCCGGAGAAGGCCAAGAGTAAGCCGGAGCAAGTGTACCGAAGGACTTTGCTCCAGACTCGGGTTATCTTCTGTCGAAGCCCAGTCGTTGGCAGTGGAGTAGAGCCTCTGGTAGAGACCATCGAGGCACTTGCCTCAGGTCATTCTTGACTCTTCCTTAGAGTCTTCGATGTGTCGGTTGAACAATTTGTAGCTATTTCGATTTCCTTTCTAAAGGCACTCGCAAAACGTGCCCAAACCATCTCAGCTGCGACTTCTCGACCTGGAGAAGTAACGGCTGTAGAGCAAAGTTTCCTAGGCTATCTGAACTGCGGTCTCTGTCGAGATGTTTGAGCCTCTTGAGGTCGGGATCGCGGTTCGCTGCAACATAGCGCTTGCACCAGATATACCAGATATTTGCTCCACACTGCTGTCGCAGTCAGATATGCAGTAGTTTTCGTCGCCTTCTTCAAGCACGCTTACGTTTCCCATGGACTGGAAGAACATATGACTCGATCGACTGGTGGATAAA